AGGGACCGCGGTTCAATCCCCCAGCACCACATGCCAGCCAGCCCCGCCCCCTGGTGGGCTGAGCTGGCCACACACACACACATAAATAAATAAAAATAATTATAAAAAAAGAAAAAAGAAAAATTTTTTAGCCTAAACAAATAGGTCCATTCAAAATAAAAAGGACTTCACACACACAAAAAAAAACTTTGTCAGATACACCAAAAAAAAAAGCCTTCCACAAGAAAAGCCTTCTACAGAGTCCTCCAAATATAGCTCTTCCGACTCTAACTGATCACCCACTTCTTGCAGCTCAAAAATCAAAAAAGTGGGAGTTGTGGGGAGCAGCTAAGCCAGAGAGCGACCACATATTTGAGGCTAGAACAAGACTAGCTGTGAGAACGTGTAGTGCCAGAGGTGAGTCGTGTAAGCAAGTTGTTAAGACCAGAGCAAGGCCAGTCTGGCAGGTGTCGGGCCTTGGCATTCCTGCCTGTTAACTACAGCACCCAATAGCTCTAAAAATATTTCACTTTCAGTTTTCACAGCAAAACGCTGAGCCCATGCACTTTTGACTCCATTGTGCACTCCCCATTACCCCCACAATTTTTTTTTTTACTGTGAATAAATAAAGATACAGACTATACTGGGTTGTTGCTGCCTCTCTATCATAGAGGACAGGTCGCACCCACTCAGTCCCAGCTTTCTTTTTAATATGTGTCTAGCTTTTACTTAATCTTCCATCACTTCCCTCAGGACTGCTGGCTGCGCAAGTCAAGACAGAAGAAAGAATTAAAGTGCCTGCTTAGGCAGATGAGCGGCCAGGGTTCGAGTCCCATCCTGCCGTGCTGGTCCCACCCCCAGGGCACACTGAGATGGCAAATGAGACTGGGTGTGGTAGCACACAGCTGTAATCCAGCTCTTGGGAGGCTGAACACAGGCAGATCACTATAAATCCAATCTACCTAGTGAGACCCTGTAGACCCTGTACTAAAAATACAACAACAACAAAAAAAAGACAGAAGAAAGAAAAACAAGAGGCAGGATGAATGAAATAGAGAGAAAGGCAGTGCAGGTTAGGGCTAAAGGAGCTGAGGTTTCTTTTGGGCAAATAGGGGTTCTGGCCCGGCTGTTTGCCCCTGGTACCTGGGAGAAGCCAACCCTCTGCCTTCTCAGTCTCTCTATCCATCACCTTGCAGGCCCTTTCCCTGTGTATCCCAACAGCCTGTCCACATGCTTCCTTCCCAGGTCACTCCACAGGCTTCCAGATTCAACCAGAGTCTGGGACCAGAGCTAAAGGGAAGATGGCTGAGAAATCATCCTTCCAACCAGTCCCACCCAGCAGCCATCCTGCCCAGACAGCTGCCTATTTCCTGATTCACCTGAGCACCAGGTGAGGAAATGGAAACCTGTAGGCCAGATGTTTATTCTGGCACCTAGAAGAACCAAGGTAAGGGAAAGCCTGGTCCAGGATGGCATGGTGCAATGGCCTCTCCCCTCCCCACTCATGAAGTCATCCTTAAAAGGGAGGGACTTCTTGGAGCTGTGCTCTGAAGTCATCTGTTCTGAACTCATAGGCTCTCAGCACTGCCCTGTACCTGCAACAATAATGCCCACTGCTGTGGGGGAAGAGCTGAGGCCATGCATGATCATGAGGCTTCCAGTCCACCTCAGGTCAAGCCTGCATCCACCACTTGGTTCACTGAAATCAGGCCACAACCAATGACATCTACAAGGAATTCTTCCTCCTCAGACACCACTGAGGTCTGTTACAGGCCATGCCATCCTGGAATGTATGCATTCCAGGATGCATGAATGTATGCCAGTAAGAGGAAATCCAGACCTTAATTCCAACTCTGCCAGATACCTATCTCCATGAAGTACGGCTTCCTCAGCTACCAAGTGGAAGCAAATATTTCTCACAGGGTTATCATGAGAATTAAGTAGATGACATACAGAAGCACATAATCAACAGATAGGCTGACACACATGTCTAACCTGGGCTGGCTTAGGAGAGGCAGGGTTGAGAAATGAGAGATTTGAATTTGTTCAGACAATAGCTTACTATGCGACCTTGGGCATTGTCTTTCTAAAATTCAATTTCACCACCCATGAAATGGAGAAATGGCAGTGGACAAGTACCCTTTGGTCTTGCCATTTCCAGGTTTCATCTTGCACATCCCTTGAATGAGGCAGCTCCAATCATCAAGACTTAATGGAACATGAATCTGAAGTTTATAGAGGAAGGAGAGACCCTGGGCTCTAGCACAGCCCCAACACTAATTTTCAAAAACTGTAACAAGCAGTGAGGCCTTTGGAAGAGCCCATGGCTGGTATACTCTGTTATTCCTGTCCTGGACAGGTTGGCTGCTGGAGTCCAGAAGGGGGTACAGTTCCCTTAAAGGAAGAAACCCTCTAATTCTCCATAAACTTTCCAATTCTGCTACTCTACCTATTGCAACAATCCCATAGTGTGAAGCAGCAAATTCTGCCACCCCAATCCCAAACTCCTCCAGTTTTCTGCAACCCCAAACAAAAGCACCCACACAATGAAAAGTCATACAACTAGGAGAGTCTTCTGTCCACGCCCGGCTGGGCAGAAGCCATTCAGGAACAAGTTTGTAACCATTTAGGTGTGTCACCTGTTCTGAGGAGGCCAAAGGGCTTATGAATTACTCCAGGTGTTGTTCCTGCCCCTAAGATAGGTGTCAGGTTACAAGACACAGAATCATTCCAGTTTGGCAACTTCACTTGTAGCACTGTTTTAATGACCAGCCCCACAGTCCCCAAGTCACTCCTGGAATACAGCAGCAGAGTGGCCAGCTTGCCGAGGGGAGAGGATGCTAGCCATGAGGGACCAAGGTTGGCTCCACACTTAGGCCTCCAGCCGGTGCTGCCCTGCTGGTCAACAGAACCCATCATCCCAGGAGGCCTTCCTCCAGCCTTTGCTTGCCAAGCTCAGCTCCAGGCTGTGGGAAAAATGGACCACCACCGGGCCAGCATGGTGAGTGTGGGCACCCCAGCTGCTCAGGATAGGGGAGGGTGCACTCCCTATGAACAGACCTTCAAGCAAGCTGAGGGGCTGTCTGCTGAGAAGTCAGTTAACTGCCAGCACACTCAGTCCCTGCTATGTCTGGCCTCTCTACCTCCATTGCCCACCAAAGAAGCTGGTGGCAGAACGCAGGGCTGTCCCTTTGACAAGTCCCTCCAAAATCCTGCCTGTTCCCTGTGTATTATTGGCACAGGTCTCCTGGTCTCTTAGCCAGAGGTTGGCATTGATTCAAGGGCCAGGGCTGCTTGGGTGTCTGTTACTCACTAGGGAAAATTAGTCCTCTTCTTTTTAAAGAAAACTGAAGAGATCTCCAAAATGACCCAGGGTATTTGTGAAGATCTTTTACTGGATTGTTTTTTATTCTCTCCTCTCCTTCTCCACCTCCTCCTCCTCCACCACCTCCTTCTCCTCCGAGTACCTAGAGCATCTTTGCTGTTTCAAGGAACAGAGAATCAACTCCACCTTTCAAGCAGGACAAGTGAGGTTCAGAGAGGGAAAGGGAGATCAGCTGGGTCTGAGATGAGACCAAAGTCTATCCTCTGTCCGGGGTTGAGCTAATGCACTTGACCCAAATGAAAGAAAAGGGAAGCAAGGGGAGGTGAAGGACGGGAAACAAGGACCTGCTGGGGGCCAAGGATATGAACTGCTGGGTCTTCATGTAGCCATCTTCTGACCCTCAGCCAAGCACTTCCTGTGACCCTGTAGTGAAAAGAGTACAGGCAGATCAAGGGAGGGACTTCCTGCTTTCTGCTGGAAAGCACCGCCTGCTCTGGGGCTCTCAGTGAGGAGGGAAGTGCCAGCCAGAACAATTACTAGATGGCACCTGGGTCCACTCTGAGGGAACAGCAGACAAGGGGACAGTTTCTGGGACAGATTCCAGGAACGAAAACCATAGAAACCACAGTTGTGCTACCTTAAGAATTGAAAGTTTCTGAGACTCATTTTCTCCCTCTGTACAATGAAAGCATAAAGTGATCTGTGGCAATACACACTCACAGAGAAGCTGAGTAGAAGCGCTGAGTGGGCTAATACATGTGTAGTCTGTGTACACCAGGAAACTGTACAAATGAAAGACCTTGTGACTTGAGAGGAATCCACTCCAGGAAATAACAACCTACCGTCACATCTAACTCTGACCCTTTGTCACACGGGGCAGGGGTTGGGTGTTGCTGCATGAGAGAGAGAAGGCATGCAGGTACACTGCAGTGGAAGGATCAGGCACAGGACCCCATAAGCAGGCAGCAGCCTGGCCAATCTTGGGAACAGGACTGAGAGAGCTGCCGACCCTAAGCTAGCCACTAATCCACCGAAGTCTAATAGCCCTGTGCGTTCCCACTAACCAGGCCAGGATACTCACAGCTGCCAGCCTTGACAAGAGGATGGGGTAACTCAGGGACATGTTCGGGCTGCCCCTCCCTACTGCTGCTCTCATCTGCAGGCCCCTCCCTGGTAGAGTCTGAGTCCTGCAGGGAGCTGCCTCTTAACAAGCATTCTTGAACCTATGCAACTGGGTTGGCCCAAGGAGGGCTAGAGCTCTGAATGGGTCCTGAGCAGAAGTCAGGGCCCAGCGTCTAGTCCTAAGAGGAAGATGACCCATTGTATCTACTCTGCAGCTGATGCCTGGAGAGAAAACAGGTACCCATGACTGGTCACCCTGGCCTTAACTCATTACAGCCCAGGAGGCCACTCTGCAACAAATGTTAACATCTCAGAAAAACAAGGATCAGTCCTCACCCTTCCAGCTGCCCTGGCAGGAGCCCTCCACACTTTCCTTGTTCACTGGTGTAGACAGGGATTTGCTTGGGTTTAAAGAATGTGGCAAGTAGTGTGCCGGGCTACTGGCAGTGGGGACAGGGAAGGTCCCCCTCAGATGAAGGTAGAGAGGCCAGGAGCCCACAGCCCTATTGACACCATCCGAGTGGCAAGTTGAGAAAGGCACAAGGGAAAGGTCAGGGAAAAAAGGAAAAGAAACCTCCTTCCCTGCCTGCTGGCCTCCTCCCTCTCAACCTGACTTCAGGAACCTGATGTCATCGTGACCCAAAAAAAACTCCAGCCCTCAGTCACCATTTATTTAATCAGTTTCTGCCACTGGCAAGCTCTTAACGGGAGAGGGTCTAGGTCAGTGGTGATGAACCTATGGCACATGTTCCACAGTGGGTAGGGCGGTTGTCATTAAAAGCTCTAAAAGATTCGCCGTCACTGGTCTAGGTTCTGACCTGGATGTGCTCAAAACAGTGTGACAAACAGAATCCAGAAGCAACCACAAGGGGCCTCTAGAGCTGAAAAGGCCATTTCTCCCCAGGGGGGTTGGCAAGTTGTCCCACAAGAGAAAAAGATTGCTGCACTGGACCTTGAAGGATGAGCCGGCTCTTTCCAAGCTAAAAAGGCAGGAAGGGTGCTCTGGAGAGAGGGAACCTGATGGGATCACAAGGCAGAGTGGCAGTGTGGGGATAACAGGCAGCCTGCTATGTGGGACAAAGTACCCAAGGAGCAGAGAGGCTACAGGCTGAGGGCTGGTCCTCTTGTGATCACACAAGCCCCTTCCTCAAGCCCCAGCTCAGGGTCCCCACTGTACCCTGGAGCTCAGCAGCACCATGCTGGAGAAAGACTTCAGCAGCAGCGACGGTGTGCATTGCCCCCAGGATTCGGCTGCGGCCACCTCCTCACCAGACGGGACAGTAGGAGCCCAGTGCTGTTCACTCACTGCACAGAAGGGTGTCATGTCTGTCTGTGCCAGAGGTACACACATGGCTGAAAGAAAACCCCCCACCTGGGTCCTGCTTTCCAGGTGTCCAGGGGCCAGAAGGTAACAGAGAGGGAGGAACAGACTCATCACACAGTGCAGGTGTGACCAGCAACTGCGATGTGTGCGAGGATGCAAGACAAGGGGCTCAGGGCCCAGGCACAGGGGGCTCAGGACCCAGGCTTGTGGGAGTCAGAGAGGGCTGAGACTGAATGTGAGCTAGCGGGGGTGCTGCACATGGGAGACGAGGAGGAGGCTAACAGGGGAGAAGTGAGAAAGACACACCGCAAACAGGGCTCAGACCTAGAACGGCAGGAATCAAATGCTCCCAGGCCCAAAAGTCCAATTTCTCAGGAACCACTTCTGCGGCCTGCAGGCTTGCTCAGATGCGAGCATCAGCCCTAATCACACACTTCAAGTTCCCAGTGATTCCCCAAGCCAGGAGTTCCTCAAACTTAAAATGCCACATCTTATAAACCTTGCTGCCGGACTGCTCACTTCCTGGGGACAGATCTATGTCTTTTAACTCCAAATATAGTACAGGCCTAGCAAGGATGAAGCGTTTGGTAACTGTGGCAATGAATGAATGAATGAATGAATGAATGAATGAATGAATGAATGACAGATGATTCAAAACTGAATCCCTTGAATGAGCTTCTGATCTGCATGAAAGCAAGGTTCACCAAGTCCAATCAAAAAGCATGCCCGACCCTATCAGAGCTGTGACTAAACTGTTTTCATCTCAGAAATCAGGGGCTGGGGGATAGTGAGGTTCAGGCCTAAGTCTGCCTCAAAACCCCAGAGACAGGAAAGAAGAAAGCTGCGCAGAGCCCCCGTGCCGACCCCCGCGCGACTTGCTGGGCTCTACCTCCGAGCTTACCGTGCTAAGTATCACAACAGCAGCGTGGAGTTGGTAAACAAGGCTCAGAGCTGCAACGTCCTTTCCTTCCCCAGCCCTTCCCCAGCTCTCAGCTTCCTACTGCCATCCACATGCAAGCAGAAACTCCCACATACAGCAGCCCAAAGGAGCACTAGAGAAGGAGGGGGAGAGACTGAGAGGGCCTGAACCAGGCTGGCAGCGCTCTCCTCTGTCGTGAGGTGTCCAGCACAGCGGACTTTGCCCACTGGGAGGGCTGAGCTGATCACCAGCAGTGTTTGGGGCACTTTTGCAATCCCAGTTTTTTTCATCTTACGCCACCTTACCTCCACCCCACTGCTGCCCTGATAGTTGAGACAGCAGCCACAATCACAAGCTCCAGGCCCCAGAAAGGCGGCTGGGAGGGCCCCTCCCATAGAGTGGGAGCTGCTGGTAGTCTTACGGAGAACAATGGCAAAAGCAGCCTCACCTTGCCTTCAGCCTAATGCAACAAGAAGAGCATTATGTGGCTTAAGAAGCACTTTAACATTCAGAGTCTCCTTCTGAGTAACTTCCTAAGATGCTGAGGTCTTCACTCTACAGATGAGGAAAGGGAGGCCCAAAGATGTTAAGTGACTCGAAATGGTCCACTCAGACTAAAAGAGTCAGAGCAGGGGCTCTAAACTCTGGAATTCCCTCATTCTGGTTCAAGATGTGGACCCAGGAGACTGAACCTGAAGTTTCCTGAGCAACTGCCCGGCCATGGTGCGTCATCTCCCTGTCTCTAAACTGATAGATCTTCCAGCAAATGGTGCTTAGAGTACAGCTGGCACACCTGCCAAGGCAGGGGAAGAGAAAGTGCCTTCCACAAGGACCTACTAAAGACCACGGAGAGGAAAGGACATACACAGGCAGTAGAAAAACTGTGGGCATAATTGAACTTAGATTTTCAAGAAAATTATAGCAAAGTTTTATACCCAGAGGTGCTCAGCAAGTTGCCATGATATCAGGATAGAAACTGATTTAGAGTGAGAAGCTCTTGAGTGAATCGAGACTAGTCTTATCTAGCAGAGGAGACAGACAGTCCAGACTAACAGTAAGCTCTTTTGAGAGCTTTGTCTCGCTCCCTTTGCCCACTGCTGCACTGCCCCCACCTCCCAGCCCTGGAAGGGGGAGTCTCCCCAAGGCCCAAGGGTGCTCAAGACCAGATCTAGGCCTGCTCCGCCTACTGCTGCAACGGCCTTCCCAGTGCAGCTTCTACACTTGTGCCTTTCCCAGGAAGCTCTGGTTGCTGGACAGTCTTCCCCTGGCCTCAAGAAAGGCCCTCCTGTTACTCTGCATTCGTCCTTAGAA